TAAGAACACTATCCAAGCCTGGGTTTTAAAGATCTATATGTTTTCTTTAAGTTTTATAGTTTTAAATTTTACATTCAGATACATGATCCCTTTTGTTTTTTTGTATAATGTATGTAGTTTAGGGTTAAGGTTTTGTTTTAGTTTTCTTTGCAAATGGAAGTCATGTAATTTATTGAAGACTATTCTTCCTCCATTGGTTTTGTATTTTCTTTAAAAAAAAAAAATTAATTGGCCTTTCTTCTGCATTCTTTTTATGGATTCCTCTATCTCATTTCATTGATCTGTGTTTCTGTCTCTCCTTCAGTAAGTCTCAGTTACTGTAGCTATAAATCGAATCGTAAAATCAAGTTTTGTGATTCCTAGGCCGGACATGGTGGCTCATGCTAGTAATCCTAGCACTCCTGGGAGGCTGAGACAGGAGGCTCCCTTGACGTCAGGAGTTCCAGACCAGCCTCAGCAAGAGTGAGACCCATCTTTACTAAAATTAGAAAGAAAGTAGCCGGGCAACTAAAATTAGAAAAAATTAGACTGGCATAGTGGCCCATGTCTTGTAGTCCCAGCTACTTGTGAGGCTGAGGCAGGAGGATCACTTGAGCCCAAAAGTTTGAGGTTGCTGTGAGCTAGGCTAATGCCATGGCACTCTAGCCTGGGCAGCAGAGCAAGACTGTCTCTAAAAAAAAATTTTTTCTTGTGATTCCTACACCTTTATTCTTCATTTCCAATATTGTTTTTGCTATTCTACTTCCTTTGCCTTTCTATATTTTATAATTAGCTTTTCTTTAGCTACACACACACACACACACACGCACAGGTGCTGGGATTTTGTTTAAATTTTGTGCCCAAGGCTCATTCTTCTCGCCATACGCCTGCACTAGTCCAGCTGGGCACAGCCCTGTGCCTGTCACACATTTCACATGTATGAATAAAGGGGCCTCGGTCACAAGGCGGTGAGGGAAGCGGGGTAGGACAGAAGAAACTAAGATCAGTTTCAGACACTTTTGGGTTTGAGGCGCCCAAGGTGTATTTAGGGGGCAACCTGGCAGCCCGGGACCTCGGGACTGCTTAGCAAGACAAAAGGGCATCCCGGAGACTCCAACAGTGAGCTGCCGAGGAGAGGATCTTAAACTAGGCGCGTTCTTTGCAGGTTCGGCTTACATCTCAGGGACGCCAGCGACACGGGGGCTCAGGACCGAGTGGGGGAGGGGGCGCCCGCGCGGTCCCCGCTGCGGGCCCAGGTCCCGGCCTCCGCGCCCGCGCGCCCCGCCACAAGGACCCCACCGACCCAAGAGCTGCCCGCGCCGCGCCTGACTCCCGCGGCACAGAACGGCACGAATCTCGGGACCCTGTTCCCCTTTCCTGTATGGTGGCGCAGGTGCTATAATCTCCCCAAACTGCAGCAGGTTGGGTCAGTTAAAGCCCATCCGAAAACGTGCGGTCAGCCCTTGGGAATGGCTTAGCTAATGTTGACTCTGCAACTACTCGTTCTAAGCAGCGATGGGCAGAAACCAAGAAAAGGCAGTTTTCTTTCTGCCCTTGTGGAAAGACAAAGACTTGCACAGTCTTTTGTGAAAGACATAAATGAGCACAAGTGCACTGGAGTTCCTGCTGTGGAGTTGGTAAAGGGCAAGCTCTGAAATGGCAGGTGAGGCCGAGGTACCCTAACAGAAACAGAGCTCCTGAGGCCGGGAGGGAACTTAGGCTTCAGCAGGAGCAACTGAGGCCAGTGTTGCTGGAGGGCGGAGAGACAAGGAAAGGAAGGAATGGCAGGCTGAAGGCAGGAATAGGCAGGGACCACACACATGGGTCCCCTTGTGCCATGGGAAATGAGCAACCAAAAAATTCAGTTTTTCAGTGATCCTAAACATAATCTAACATGAGGCTCCAGTCAGAACGAATTAACCCATATTTACTAATAGTCAACAGGAGTAGGCTAGTCACCTCATTTTAGACAAAGCGCTTTATCATATCCATGAGAAATTTGAAACATTTGTGGATAGCAAAACCCTCATGTGTTCAACATCTGGCTTCAACCTGTCAAAACACAATCTATCTTGTCTCCTACCCACACTTCCATTTCTTTTACGTGTGCCTTCAGGTAAACCTTAAGGCCAAAAGGTTACTGACAGTATCTCATGAGAAAGCACTTAAAAGATTGATCTGGCCATACACCTAGTCTCCTTTGCTTTCGCATAATCTTTTTCTCTATTCCTCAATTTGCCTGGCATATACTTACATCAACTCCCACCTACTAAATCACCCGACACCTTTATCTTCCTATTTTAAAACACAGTATATGTAGACACAGAATTACAAATAGATCCTGATCTTTAAAAACTAAAACAAAAATCAGGAGCAGGGAGTAACTTTAAGGGTACTATTTATCATCTTGGGTCCTCCGAACATGGATCAAGAATGTACATTTCCAAGGGTACCCAAAATGATCCATATTCAATAGAAGTTAAAACTGCTTAGTTTTACTAGATACAGTAAAAAAAAAAAAAAATCTAAAAATTATCCACACTTCTACCATAAAAGTCTTTCCATAAATGTAATGAGTTTACTGAAGTTTTTAATGCAATGCTAGGCTAGAATACTGTGTATCTGTATTCCAGATCTATAACTTTATTTTCTTTACTCCATAGAAGGAATCAAACTTTGTCCCAGATTACAAATCTCATTAACTCTAGAGAATCCTGAAACAACTTTTCTCCCCATCTCCTAAAATTAATAAAGCACACAATGCATCTTTGTAGTGAGAAAAAGGAAAATAAGATATCAAACGTTTTTGGCATATGAAAATTTATTACTGTGTTTTCACCATCAAAATTTATGATCTTGGTCTTTCTTTCTTGCCTTTGTATAGAGCCAAAAGAGAGACATTGGCTACTTTGACAACCTTAAAGCGGACTCCAGGAATGTCACCAACAGCATGACCTTTTCGACCAAATCCAGCAACCAGAACTTCATCGTTTTCCTGCAATAAAATAAAAAAATTACTTCTGGTGTCAGCGAGTCACAAAAATATTCATACGTAGAAACTCCCATTCATTGGATAAAAAACTGGAGGAGGCCACCCCAATTGAGGTGAATAAGCACTCACCTCAATAAAGTTCAAGCAACCATCATTGGGTACAAAGGCTGTGATTTTCTTGCCGTTCTTGATCAGCTGGACCCTGACACATTTCCTGATGGCTGAATTTGGCTGTTTGGCTTCAACTCCTCTGAAAGATAAATTAACACAGCAGAATGAGCTGGCTTTCTGAAAACAGACACATTTTACCACCTTAAGCAAGAGCTTGTTAGAAACTGCTTCTATCTTTTCAATCTAATCTTAAATAACTAAAGTCCTGTGATTTCCACCAAGTTTTTCCTCAGTCTGTTTCATTAGTAGAATGAGGCAATCTTCCAGTCCCTTTAGTTATAAGTTATCTTAGATAATTAAGAATTAGAGCTAGAGAGTCCAGATTCAAATCATGACTTACCACCAAATTTAACTGACTCACATGAAATTGCCATTTTTAATGTAAATAACAAATACCAGCAAATTCACATCTCAGTCTTATTAGCTATATGATCTCAGTCACTTCTGACACAACTCTCTTCACCTCATTACTTTGAATTCCTCGAACTAAAAACAAAACCCTGATAGCTGGCAAGCGCACTTGTTAATTAACAGTTCCCACACATGATGAATGTGTTCATTTATGTCCCTTATCATTGCAAGTTTCTCCTTCAGTTCCTCCCAAGCCAATGGTGAAATTAAAACACTTTACCTAATTCCCAAACACTAAATTTATCAGCTGTTAAATGCAAAAGTGCTTTGCAATTTTACCCCTAAATACCCAAACGTGATTACACAAAACCCTACGATTACTCCCGTTAGAAGGAAAATTCAATAAATGTAATCGTCTCGATTTTCCATAGTAAAATAAACCTAGAAGGAAGCAATGGATTTCCACTTACACTTTTTCCAGCACAATTCCCTTTGCATGGGAAGCACCTCCAAAGGGGTTGGCCTTCAGGGCTGTGCCCAAATGGGCTTTCTTGTACTGTTTATCATGCCACTTCTGGTCTCGTCGGTGACTACGGAGCTTCCTGGCAGTACGAAGTCCACGACACTTGCCTAGAAATTAAAGAATTTTAGTTCTTCAGCGAGAAAACCCACCTACTTCATGTTTTACATCTCTTAAGGCACTAGCGTCACCTGGACTAAACCCTTAAGCCAGGTTGGCTCTCGGAACACATCTCGGCCGGTGGGCCAAACATTTGGCTTCAAAATTCCCCCTGAAACGACTAACAAACGCTAGGAGGGGACACAGGCGCTCCGGTGGGTGCGTCTTCCCAAAGGATTAGGCCCCACGCCAAGCCTGGGAAGCAGCGTCGGCTTGTGTCCCGCGGTAACGCGTCCCCGGCGGCTTCCGAGCCGCGTGGGCCGCTTCTGCGCCTGGCCATGTGCCTTCAGAAGCGGCGTCCCCCTAGCTCTCCCGCATGGGGTTCCCCCCGTGGGATCCTGCCCCCAGCTCTATTCCCATCCGCCAGCCCGTCCCCGAGAACCCAGATCCCGCCCTCGGCAACCCTTAGACCGGTCAGGAGCGCTCACCCATCCTGCCGGCGGCACCACGGGCCTGAGCGAAAGAGAGAAGCGGCACAGGAAGGAGCCACAAGCCACCGCGAGCAAGCCCCGCCCAACCAAGGACCCGCGCGGCTGTCTGCGCAGCGCCTGACCTGAGGCTGCAGACTGTCCTTTGAGAATGACTCGATTGCACCACCTTACTGAGACAGAATCTGAGTCTTATTTAATTTTCGTTAAATTCAGAGATATCTAATTTGCACCGTTGCTTATTTCTTTTTCACGTGCGTGCCGGACACAGGAAGGACGAGGACTACCAACCCCAGAATGCTTTGCACGAGGCCCGCTCACGGCGCCTGCGCTCTCGGCAAGTTACCGGGCCGGGCTGGGCGGCGCGAGGGCTGAGGAAGGCGGGGTCGCTGGGCTTGCTCTTACTGGGAGTAGGCGGAGTGGCGAGGAGGCGGGGCCCTCCGAATAGAGTTTGGGAAATGAGATTTAGGAGACTTAACTCAAGCTCGCAGGGAGCATAGTAGATTGTAAAATTTAGTGAGGCAGTTTAGGGTAGTAGTTAAAAACCCAATCTTTGGAGTCTGACTTGGCCTTAAACCCTAAAGCTGCCATTGACTGGTTGTGCAACCTTGGGCAAGTCATTTAATTAGCTCTTCAACCTCAGTTTCTCTTGTAAAATGAACTAAATATGAGAATTTTCTGGCATGTTGGTTCACTTGGCAAATATTTTTTGTAAAATATCTTCTCTGTGCCAGACACTCCCGTAGGCACCCGGGATACAGCAGTGCAGAGAGTGAAAGTTTCTGCTCTTGCAAAGTTTATATTCGCAGTGTGAGGGGACAGACAATATAGATAAGTACGTTTACAAATAATCAAAAAGATAATTTCACATAATGACAAATACTGCAGAGGAAAATATACAACTGGGTAGGTAATAACGATTTGGGGATGGGGGTGGCTACTGTAGATAGGATAGTTTTAAGAAGGCAGCTCTGTGGAGATTACATTGGAGCTGAGAGGTTAAAGACAAAACAATCAGATAAGTATAGGGGATAGGGCCTTCCAGGAAGGGGGATTCTCAGTAAGTTGAAGAAGTGAAAGATCAGTGAGCAGTGAGTGGAGCTCGGTGAGTGAGGAGGAGCGTGGCACTAGATTAGGTCTATTCAGGGACTTGTGGACCCCATAGACCATGGTAAAGCCTTTTTCTATTTTTCTGGTGATTGAGGGCCATTGTAAAGTTTTGACCAGAGGAGAAACAAAATAGGATTTGTATTTTTTTATAGGATTACTCTGGCTGATATGAAGAGAAAAACAGATGAATGTGTGAGGCCAGTTGGGGAGGTGTTGCAATAGTCCAGGTGAGAGATCATGACTACTTGGAGCCTCAGTGGAGATGGTAAAAAGTAGTTGGATAGAGCCAAAAGGATTTGCTAAGGACTGTAGGATGTGAGAGAGGAGATAATTATGATGCCATGATTTTGACCTGAGCACATAGGTGACTTGTGGGGTTGTTTACTGAGTGGGAAATATTGAGAGAGGAGATTTTGAAAGGGGAAATGAAGAGTTGTGTTTTGGATGTGTTAAGTTAGAGAGGTATATTAGGCATGTCTATTAGGATAGACATATTTGGATGTGTTAAGTTAGAGATGTCTATTAGGCATCATTTAATATGATATAAAGTTCAGGAGTCATCAGTGAATAGATACTATTGAGAGCTATGGGTCTGACTGTGATCACTTAGGGGATGATTGTAGGTAGAACAGAAAGTTTGGAGGCTAGAGCTCTGGGCCACCAAAGGTTACTGTTATGGTAGATAAGGCAGGTGAAGCAAAATAGACAAAGAGTGGCTGATGTTACACTCTATCCCATGAGTGGGGAACCTTTTCATGTTGGAAGCCTGCATTAATTTAGCTGTAATCAAATAAGGCCACATTCAAGAAACTTCAATTATATTTTATAAAAATCTAACTACTAGGCTGGGTGCAGTGGCTCACGCCTGTAATCCTAGCACTCTGGGAGGCCGAGGTGAGTGGATCGCTCCAGGTCAGGAGTTAAAGACTAGCCTGAGCAAGAGCGAGATCCTGTCTCTACTAAAAATAGAAAGAAATTAATTGGCCAGCTAAGAATATAGGTTAAAAAATTTATCCAGGCATGGTGGCTCATGCCTGTAGTCCCAGCTACTTAGGAGGCTGAGGCAGAAGGATTGCTTGAGCCCTGGAGTTTGAGGTTGCTGTGAGCCAGGCTGATGCCATGGCACTCTAGCCCGGTTAAGAGAGTGAGACTCTGTCTCAAAAACAAACAAACAAACAAACAAAAAACCCAACTAACTACTATGTGCTTAATAATTTCAAAAAATGAAAACAATTTTAAAGCTCACTAACCTTATAATGGTTTTGTTGTGTCTGCTTTTTGTTGGAAGCATTTGAGTATTTGGTTGCAGCATGGATCCTCTAGATGGGTATCAGTTATTTGTGACTTTAAGAGTGTCTTGACTTGGGTTAGGTAGGAGAATGTAGATGTGCAGCAATAAGTGGTTGAAAAGCAAGAAAGCATTTTTTGAGTATGTTGCCAAAGGCATGAGTATTCTACTCCATTTTTCCATATTTCAATTGGATCTTTCTTAGCATTAAACAATGACTTTAAAATGTCATCTACTGAGAGCTCAATCAATTCCATCTGTAGCTCTTTAGGTGTTTTGATGGTATCAACTAGGTGAGGCTGAAATGCTAATTTGAGTATGATGTGATGTTTCTCAACATCAGAGAACCTTTCATTGTGTTCTCCAATTAGTATGTCTGTAACAGCTGGGTATTCCTCAAATGATTTGCATATATCATCCTGCTCATCAGTGACCTCTGCTAACTGGGGAAAATGTTCATCCGAAATTTCCTTTTGAAGAACAAGTGCTTTGAAAAAAGAAAGCTTTTTTTCCCAGAATGCTTAGATGTTTTGCCATATATCATATGTAGACTTGGTTTTAACTTGCAAAGACATATTTAAGTCATTTTGATTTGACGTGATCTCACACAGAAATGCTGCATTCCTATAGAAATCTTCTTTCTGTGATTCACATTGCTGATTTTGTTCTTCATAAAATTTAGCTATTTGTTCTTGCAGAGATAAAATTTTGGCTAACACCTAGCTGTCCCTGTGATAGCCAACATGATTTAGAATGATATGGCAAATCCACACTGAATACCTCATCTTTCAACTTTAGCCTGTTACAAAACTACCTTGTTGCATTTGCAAGAATATAGTTAGCAATACTTATAACTTGTTGCAAAGTGTCACTTAAAATGGTAGCTTCAGCACAGAGATTTTGCTGATGCAAGATATAATGAAAAGAAATGAGAACATCTGGATCTGTTAATACTTTTTTAAATCTGTGCAATAAACCCTTCATGTTTTCCTGTCACGAGAGATACACTATCTGTACATACACTCACTAAATTTACCAAATTCAGTCCAACTTCACATTTATCTTGAAAGTTGTTGAAGATATCTATTCCCCTTGTTCTGTTTGCAAAAGTGCCAAAAGTTGAGTAACTCTTCCTCTCCCAAGTAGGTCTTGCAATGAGTAAAAAAAAAGTTAAGAATTTCTTTAAAATTATAAAAGAAAAAAAGTTGAGTAACTCTTCATAGCAAAGAAAATCTTCTTTTATGACCCAAATGAAGTATAAAACCTGTGCTGAGTTAGTAGTATCAGTTGATTCATCCAAAGTGATTGGATAATATTATTTTTCCTTCACAAAGTATGGAGATGGAAAGGTGTCATAATTAGGATATATTTTGGAATTAGATCATGAAGGGAAGAGCAAAAGCATTGACATCACACCACCACCACCACCACCATCTTTAGTATGTATTGTTATTTTGATGCCAGGCATAGGACTGCTAAGAATTTTACATACAGTGTTTCTTTTAATTCTCAAAACAATCCCTCTGTGGTAGGTGCTATTATTAGCACCACTTTACAAAGAAGAAACAGAAGCTTAAAGATGTTAACTTGCTTAGCCAGAACATGTTTGTTGGTTTCCATATTAGCTATAAGGCGAAATTTTGATTTTTAAGTTTAGAAAAAAATGTTAATGAATGTTAAGTAAATACAATACAAAATAGGTAGAAAATAGTTTTCTAGCCAGCAAAACACCAGGAAAACTAGGGAGTTATAGTTGTTAAGACAAAAGTTTTTTTATTGTAAGTTGCAACCTGACATTTTGGGGTTACTAGAGGTATATGAAAACAAAGAGACATTTTGTCACAGAAGAATCCCATTTGGTAGCTCTTGTAATAATATTGGAAAAGTGGGAGTGGGAAGGAGAATAATGTCCCCTCTTTCCTGGTAAGTTTTCTTCCAAATAGAAGGAGTTCAGTTAGTGAACTCCTGGTTTCTGTCACTTTACTCATTCCATGCCAGGTGAGGAGGTGTGACATCCATGATAAGTTTAAAAAGCATAGTCTGGGCATGTTCAGCTTTTCCCTTTTTCCTTTTTGAGACCCAGCCTGCCCATGAATAATATATTTTACCCCATTTCTTCCCAGGCAGTGCTCTCTTCCCTACTGAGAGCCTAGTGCTACCAGGATAGTGTCAATGGAAAAGAACCCAAACTCTGTTAAATATTTCAAAGTTTACTCTGAGCTGACTATATGTGACAATGTCCCAGAGAGCCACACCTGAGGCCTTGAGCAAGTGGTCCCGCCATGGTTGGGTACAATTTGGTTTTATACATTTTAGGGAGACAGGAATTACAGGTAAAATCATAAATTAATACATGGAAGGCATAGATTGGCTTGACCCAAAAAGGCAGAACATCTCGAAGTGGGGAGATGGTTAGGTAGGTTTAAGTATTTTTTGATTTATAATTAGTTAAAGAAATGAAGCTTTGTCTAAAGGCTTGGAATGTTTTAAGTTAAGATAAGGAAGTCTGATATTCAGATACAAACCAGGACATAAAACTGAGACTCCAGTGATCTTTTAAGCAAATTGATGTCCTGCAGGTGTGGTTTAACCTTTGTCTTGCATGGCTTTATGTCCTGTTAGTATGTTGTTGTTACAAAGAGTAACTCCAAAAGGGAGGTGGGTATGTCTGACTTCCCTTCTCCTCATGCACAGCAACTCAGCTTTAAGGTTTTTCTGGGGTCCCCTCGGCCAAGAGGGGAGTCCATTCAATTGGTTGCGAGGCTTAAGATTTTATTTTAGTTCACAATAGGCTTCATGTCTGTCTTCTCGAGGGAGGGGCTAGTTACAATCCATTTTGCTCCTACTCTAATCTTTGTCTTCTGCCCTCCTTCCTGGCCTTTCACAGTGGTACAGGTGGTATTTGGGCCTCGGCTTGTCTTACCCCTTGTCTTATTTGTCAATTGGTTTAGCACTCAGGTGAGATAGGGGGACATTTTTTTATTTGATTTCTCTTAGAGACATCCCCCAAACCTGAGAAGAAAGATGGGTCTTTATATATTATATCAGTTGACGAGATGCTGATTGTTTATACGACAGTGGGCAGAGTTAGCTTTTGGGGAAGAAGAGCCAAGGATTGTAATAATGTTGACAATTGACATTGGAACATATTTAGGATGGTTAGCAATGATTCCTTGTGCTTTAGCTATTAAAATTGAGATAGCAGTTGCTATGGAAATGTGACAAGTTAAAGAAACAGCTTTAAGTGAGAATGAAGAAAGCAGGGAGGTGAGACTGATGACTCCATGCTCCGTGTAACTGCGAGTGACAAATGTTGAGTGCCTCATTTCCCTGATTAAATTATTAAACACAATTTTTCCTTTATATAAAATGAATGGAATTTCTTAGTCTTTCATTCTAGCTACTGTTTGGTGCAGTGGTTATTTCTTTTCACATCTCTTCTAAAGTGGCACTAAAGAAATAAGTGTATGTTGCCATACCATCTTAGTAATATTGAAGCCTGATCTTTAAAATCCTGTTTTCATAATTAAACCTCTATGTAGGATCTAGGGGGAATTGGCAAAGCTGTTCTTTGATACCCTTTGTAAAATTCCTGGAAGGGAGCTATAATTTTAATATGCATATTAAAAGTTATTCTCCAGGTGTTCTGGAGCTTGGCTGAGAACCAAACAAAGGAAAATATGCTTCTATTTCAGCAGGGACCTTTG